CTCAGGTGCGAAAAGCCATGTCGTATACACACATTCCTGTAACGCCTCAGCCTAAATGTGTCATGTGACCCGTCGCTAGAGATTAGTTTCAGATGCAAACTTAAAATGTTCGGCTCTGGTTAGATGCACAGGCGAGGTAACTGCTAACTTTGCTACTGTTGTTTGCGCTCTTTTCTGTCAGCAAAATAAATGTTATACACATGAAAGCGTGGCATCCTATAGCGATTACCTCTATGTATTTCCGACTTTCTAGACCATTGCTCGCCAAACCTGTTTTTTCTATCGCCCATTTTTCAATAAATAAATAGAACAGACTCCCCCCCCCCCCCCCCCCTTTTTTTTCCCCAGCCACTCTTGGAAATAAAATCAACATTATGTGTTGGTCAATAAGACTAGGATGTATTGATTCGCCATGGTAAAGATCAGTAGAATCATAAATCACGTCAGTGCTCTCGTCCCACCCTAAGCATGTCGGCCAAGCCATCAATGCATTTATCTCCTTGTCTCTATTGCCATCTTTTAATCAGTTATGCCAAGTGTAACCAAATTCTTGAGCCTTGTCCTTTCCCTGAAGCATACTTTCTGTAATCGAATTTAAACTGTTTATTATACAACTGTAATGGCAAATTTTCTTTTTCCTGTTTTCTTGTCCTCTCCTTCTTCTCACGCGAACAAGTAGGTTGACCAGCTCAGTCGCACAGACTCCGTTCTATGCCAGCGTCATCAGACAAGAATGGTTTGTCTGACTAAGTCTCATTGTCTGGTCACACGAGTGTTTAAGTCCAAGAGTTTGCACGTGGCAGACAATGTGACTATTTTGGCTGCTCTAGCGGGTGGTCTAGAGAAAAAGTATCAATATCATACCAGATGAATATCGCAAAGACAATTGCAGCAGGTGTGACTCTGTAACCCTCGTATGTGGGTGCGACCTGGAGCTGCCAAACATGAAACTGTCTCTAAGACGTTTGATTGTTTAAAAACAGAAGGGATGTGATCGGTCGTTTTACGTTTGTGGAGCTACTGTGGAGGAGACTGCAGCACCAGTGGATCTGTCCAAGGTGATGTAATGATAATCCCCACTGGTCATGTTCAATTCATAGCCTGAATCTTTGGCGCTTTGAATTTTTGAGGTAAGTGGGCTGCATGAGATACCACGCATCCTTTACGAATTATTCTGCTATTTTATTTCCACTGACACGCCAGTGGGCTAGCATCCCCTGCAGTACTAATTATATTCTTGTTAACAGCACTCTGATGGTTTCAAACAACTCTAATTCCAATTCCTTTTAAGAAAACAAAATAAAAAACTCAACCCCGTTCAACCTGCTGTTTAGAAAAATTTTTATTATTTTATTTATTATAAATGATGCTGTCCTTTTTGGAGCATACGTAAATTTGTAGGGCTCGTCGCTAGTGTGAACATGACAGCTCCATTATTTAATTCTACTCCACTGTCAAGAGACTGCACAGCCGAAAGCAGGGTTAATGCTTTCCTTAACCAATTTCTTCTTCTTCGCGTAAACTCCAGCTGAAAGTTCTGCTTGTTCATCCAACCCTGGACTTTAGTCTTGTTCCTGAACCCAACTTTTGCGTGCAAACTAGTTTTACATATCTGGATTATTTGTAACGCAGACTGTTGGTTCACTGCCTCTTAGGCAAATGCACTCCAACTAAGAGAGAAACAACTAATTAGTCGACTCTTACGACATGCTTGTTGGTGAGACAGTGGGTCTTTTATTGTTTCTACATAGTGGGGACCCAGAACCCACGCGGGGACTCCGCCAGTCTGAGTGCGTCTCTGTGTTGCTCTTAAGATATGTAATGTACATTAGGCCACCTTACCCCTCTGACTTCTTTAGAAAAACCATCTGTGAACACACATATCAAACATGAGAGGTATACTGATTTATGAGCATAGGAAGTGACAGGGATTTTTACTCTAACTTATTTTGTTGTGAGTGCCCTCTGGGAGCGAGTTTACAGTTCGAAAGCGCAAATAAAAAATTATGATCTGAGGAGAATGGCGCTGCGAGGAGTTACCAAGGGATCTGGCCAACGCTCAACACTCAAGGGAAGGGTGAGACAGATATACAATCAGACAGTTGCTAGTGCCATCGGAATCGTAACTCTTCGTTTGCTGCTGAAGATGTGTTACGGAGCGCTTATAGGGGTGTCATGAGTGCTGTGATGTCGATTCTAAATTCAGCTTTCAACAATTTGTTCTTTTCTGTTTCCAGGGACTTTCGAGCTGTGCTAGATAGGTCTGGACAGCTTGGCTGTGGTTCTGGTGTAAGAGCTTCACCTCATTTCAGTTTCTTTATTTGCAGGACATCTCTCTGTTTCTCTTGCTGGACGGTTTAGACATTTTCTTTAACGACTTGTTTCAGATTCTCTCTTGACCCTTATGGTGCAGAGAATTGTTTAAAAGCCTTTTGAGCTTTTCAGTCTGAGGGAGGGTTCTGTGCTGTCTATGAAAACCAAAGGGTTGTATGTCAAAAATCTTCTTAATTTAACAACATGCGGATTTACAATAAAGGGTCGCCACAACATGCAGAACTGTACAAAAGGGTCGCCACAACATGTGGAACTGCACAAAAAGGTCGCCACAGCATGTGGAGCTGTACAAAAGGGTCGCCACAACATGTGGAACTGCACAAAAAGGTCGCCACAGCATGTGGAGCTGTACAAAAGGGTCGCCACAACTTGTGGAGCTGTAATAAAGGATCGCGGCACAAGGAAGGTAACCGCTGCTCCAGAGAAAACATGCGAAAGAAGCGAGCTGTTCAAAAAGGGTGATGTACGAGAACCGAGGTTCCATTGTAACAGATTTACTGTATTTCTGAACGTCTCAGCCCGGAAGTAAACACTAAGTCACACGGGACTGCGCACAAAGGTCACCAAACACAATACTCTAATTTCAAATCCGGCATCACACAGACACACACAGAGTTAATCTTACTTCACAATGATCCCAGTTATTTGAAAGTCTATGTCATTAGTATGTTTTTAATGTGTAGGTAGCAAAGGGAACCCATCTCTCGTTCTTATACGTTTGCCCTGAAAAAGGACAGTTGTGGTTTACAGCAAGGCAGCGACATTGCTCCTTCCGGCTTAACACGTCCCATTTCAGCAGAAACTTGCTTAGGTGCTTTTTACGACTTGGTTGTTATGAGGACCGTTATTCTCTCTCATCCATGAAAGTGGGATCCCGGAATTCACACGGAGAATGTTTCCTCTGTTACATGACATAGCTGAAGATCACATCCAGAGGAACCTAGATGGGGGAGGGAAGGGGGCTGGGGAACTGCAATAGCATTCTGCAACTTACATAGACAAATATACAATATACACAAAAGAGGTTTTTTGGCACATCCTCTCTGACTAATAGAGCCATATGGAGATTATATAAAGTTACAAACTAAGAATACAATAGTTAGTCAGCTAGCTAGTTACTTAGCTAACTAGTTAGTTAGTTATTAAAAAATATTTTATTAACTAACTAGTTAGTTTTTTTTTATATTTTATTAACTAACTAGTTAGTTAGTTAACTAGTTAGTTAGTTAGTTAGCTAGTTAGTCAACAGATTGTCATAACTGCACATCCAACAATTTAGCCTATAATGGCTCAAATCCTCTCTTAAGTAAACCCCGCACCGTGTAGCGGCTCACAATTCCAGTTCTGTGTTGGGTTCTTTTTCTTCTTTAGCTTCCTGCACAGCGCTCTTGTCTGGCCACATCCCATTTAACATGTTGTTTTTGCAGTCTGGTCATTGTTGCAGATTCACAGTCACCGATTGGTTCTCGCAAACCTCTTACTTCTCATAGAGCATTCAAAATATCAGCTGGGCCCACGGCTCGCTAGCCCTCCATAGTAGCTTTACCTGCAAGCCGATCAGCTTGCTCATTTCCTTGCATGCCTTCGTGCCCTGGCCCAAATATAAAACTGATATGTGTCAGCACCGACCGCTTTAGAGACTCCAACCACAGTCTTCTGATCCAGTCCTTCTCTATCTTCATGAGAAGACTCATTGAGTCACAGAGAAATTATGCGTGGTTAAAAACTTCGTTGTCTCCAGCCTGAGAATACTATGGTTGCACTGAAACTATTAGTCTATAAAAATGGACACACGCTCTACATTCTACAGCAACAACACACATTACCGTAAAGAGCCCATGTTTTAACATAAGACGTGACAGTGAAACCATCCTGCACAACATAGTGGCCAATAGGGTGACTGGATGCCGTCAAGAGTATGTGGTAACTGCCGCTGTTCTAGCAAAATAGCTAAAAGTTGGTTGCTTACCCTTTACAGGGCGTTGCGGAACCACCAACATCAGCATTTTGTGGTGGTTGGCTGTTGTGGTTTTTCTACGTTCTGTAGTTTACCACTGCTTTTGAACGGTCAGCTCTGGGCACCACTGTCGAAACCAACACAAAACAGATCGTCCGCAGCTGGGATCGATCCCGGCACCCCGGTATTACGAAGCACGTTTAGAACGCTCAAGCCACAGACGCAGACAAACAGACACAGTTCATCATAACGAAACGAGTTACAAATGCAGCATTTCGCCATAGCTTCGGCTCAGTAAATCAGATTCCTATAGTGTCTGCTTACTTTGAGTAGTGCTGACCCAGTGATTAGAATGCTATCTCCTACGCATAAGACCAGGGTTCGAATCTCCTGTAAGGTGATGAGCGTTTTTTTTTTTTAGCTCAAAATAAACATCCTGACCTACACAGTTCATGCAGCCCTAAATCCTGATACAAGACCCCCTGACCTGCACAGCTTTTATACATTGATTAGCAATAAAGACAGTTCTTTGCTTTACTTGGTCTTTAACGACATCGAGCCTGTCTAAAAGCAACAGATTTGTGACTTTGTCCTGAAGTCGAGTCAAAGAAAGTGAAGAATGGAAGGTTGAAACACTCAGCTGTTAATGTTAAGTGCGTAAATACATTAGATATTATAGCATTACTTGACTTTGTTGGTAAACAATGAATTAAAGTATATATGCTTCAGTCAAACTATCAGCTTGCAACCTATTGCCTTCATCTCTCAGGTTTGCGTTTGAAAGCACTGTTAATGTGATCTGGTTTGTTTGCACCAGAAGGAGTCCAACTTCTTGATGGTTCATTGTAAGAACGTCTTGGCCATTGACACTGGATATGAAGTGTCGAACCTGGAAACACACACACGGTGATCAGATATGTAACTTGTCCCCTTTTAACACAATAACTATTTTAACACGCATACACATAGATCTAATAATCATTTTTCTTTCGCACATAATAGCTACGGTTGTAATGCATACATATGTAAGTGCGAATATATATATGTGTTCTAACTCAAAGGAGTTGACAGTAGTGTGGACCGACTTCATAAATCGAGATTTTATTTCAAATGGCGCGGTCTCTCTCCGAAGAGCAACGAATTTCGTAGTTCCAGCAGTGATTTTCTGAACATCTGCTCTTGCGGACTGAAGGTCGGACTCCGAAATAGAACCCACAGTCTTCAAAACATATAGCAAACAGCTCAATCACTTTGCCATGGAGACCACCGTGTAGTCTGTTTGTGATGCACAAAACAATGTAATGATAAGAGGCAGAAATTAACTAATTAAAGACAAACTATAACTGGGAATTTCAACGAGAGGGAAAGGAAAATTACCTAAGATGCACTCGAATGTTTCGACTAAAGTCTTTATCAACAAATGAACCAACACGAATGCTAAACCACCACAACAGAGATCACCATCTTCTGAACTGAAGGGATCGGTCACAGATAAAACACTGAAAACAGAGAAAGCTGAAGTTGGATAGTTACTGGATTTAGGCTTTAGCTTAATGAAGACCTGTGTGATAGGCAGGACACACACACACACACACACACACACACACACACACAGAGAGAGAGAGAGAGAGAGAGAGAGAGAGAGAGAGAGAGAGAGAGAGAGAGAGAGAGAGAGAGAGAGAGAGAGAGAGAGAGAGAGAGAGAAAGTCAGTTTAATATTGTTCTGTTGAGCCTCATAAGAATGAAAAAATCAAGGCAAGGTGGTCTGCTGTTGAATCGATCGGGTGTAGCGGATTTATAAAACTGGTTTCATGGTCCCTAATCCACAAAAGGCCCTAATCCAACTCATGCCACATCTTTCTATTCACGTCACTCAATAAAATCACCAATGCATTTAACCCCCCCCCCCCCAAAAAATCCCTCCCTCCCCCACACACACATACATACACACAACAGCATTGACAGGAAGCGAAAATATGACCATCGAACAGACGTGCAATGGTGGAAAGGGGTCTTTATCTGTGTCTGTCAGTCTATCTGTTTTTTTCTTTTCGAGCTGCTGTCGGTAGATCTGACCACCTCTGCTACTTCAAGAATCGTATCAATTTCTCAGTCAACCGGGGTTAGTCCCCAATAACCGGCTCAACCTCAAAATAAATAGGATATCGTCAACGGCTGCACCAAGAACAGGTTTTCCGTAACGGCTGCACCAAGAACAGGTTTTCCTCAACGGCCGCACCAAGAACAGGTTTTCCGTAATAGCTGCACCAAGAACAGGTTTTTCGTAACGGCTGCACCAAGAACAGGTTTTCCGTAACGGCTGCACCAAGAACAGGTTTTCCTCAACGGCCGCACCAAGAACAGGTTTTCCGTAATAGCTGCACCAAGAACAGGTTTTTCGTAACGGCTGCACCAAGAACAGGTTTTCCGTAACGGCTGCACCAAGAACAGGTTTTCCGCAACGGCTGCACCAAGAACAGGTTTTCCGCAACGGCTGCACCAAGAACAGGTTTTCCGTAACGGCTGAACCAAGAGCAGGTTTTCCGCAACGGCTGCACCAAGAACAGATGTGGTCGTTGGTCTACACCGTCCCGCAACTCCGGGCTCGCTGTACAGATGAACTGGAAATCTCTCCTATTAACTGGACTTCTGCTCTACACTAAGCAGACACATCGGCTGACTATAAAGGGACTCATAACACTCGTTCTCCATCATGCGCACACAGCACATCAGCCTCTTCGAAGGACTTCGATGACCGGCAGGACTCCTGGCTCTGAGTCCCCTTCACCACACAGCTGTCGCCGGCATCTTCGCTGTCTTGTTTTACTGGTGAGCCTACGCCTCCCCGAGTTGTCGCCCAGAACAGCTACTCTTGAGTGTCCAGTCCTCGTGGCCTTATTCTGCCAACTGGACTCTCTCCCTTTGACTGCACTGCAAACGAGCCTCTTGGCTCTTCGACCTCACTGTCTGACTCTTGCTGTGGTACTCTGTCTCTCTTTTGCGGTCCACTTAACCCTAGTATATACCTTGCCTGCCCCTTGTCCCTCCCCACAATGTTGCAAACCACATGAATCAGTACGCAACAAGGTTATCCGTAACAAAGGCACCAAGAAAAGGTTTTAGTCAACGGCTGCACCAAGAACAGGTTTTCCGTAACGGAGGCACCAAGAAAATGTATCCGTAATGGCTGCACCAAAGAACTAAGAAGTACCATGGAGATGACTCAAAGTCAGACAAACGTCTCAGGATTTACCTGCAGTCCTGCAGCTGCCGCTGGTCCAAGCGGGTCAACATTCAGCACATAACATGGCGACGATCCTTGCAGAACGAAACCGAAGCCAATAAGGTCTTTCTCAATCTGTCAACAGCCCATAAATCGCTTGTAAAAATACAAGTAAATCTTTTCTCGTCAGTGGTTCATAAAGAATATGGTGTTAAACTCATATTTTACACACGGAGATCACCGGAGCTACGGAGCTCGTGCTCTGTGAGGTGCTCTCGGCAAATGGCTAGCCGTTCTGCGAAGAATGACCGAGCCATATGGGATAAAATGCTATGCAATTAGGTCAATCCTCTGGACTTTAACCTTTAACCTTCTTGTATAGACCAGTCGGTAGTCAGTGTGTGATCTTGCTTGTCAACATTACTTCTGTCGTCTTTACCTCGCCCGACACTCGTATACCCATTTAAGTCTGGATCGACATGGTAAGCAAGGTCAACTATACAAAATTCCCACTCCATAGCGATTCGAACACAAGATCTTCAGGTCGGCAGGCAAGAACCTAGCCGGTGCGTTATCCTGACTCCCTTTTAACTCACATAACTCTCCATAATCGGCGTCTGTGGATTAGGCGTTGCGAACGCGCTTCGTAATGCCGGGGTGCTCGATCCCAGTGAGGACGATTTGTCTTGCGTTGGTTTCGACAGTGGTACCGAGAGCTGACCGTTTTATTAGCAATGGCAAACTACTGAACGTAAGATTTGCCTAGAAAAACCACAACAGACCCAAAAAAAAAAATACTAGGATTGGTTCTGAAACGTCCTGTAAAGAATACGCTATTCACAACAAATCTCTATAATTAATTCGATGACTAAACAGTTCATATTTTATATGTAAATTATTATATTTAAATTATATGCGACCAATTCTCATTCTATTAATTACATCATGATCTTTATTATAATTTTCCTGTTGTGCAATTATATGTTTGTTTCTCTATTCCAAGTGGCCGCCGTGGTGTAATGGTTAGATGCTCATTTGTGGATCGGATGGTCGTGGGTTCGGATTCCGACCAAACTGGACTTTTTCCCCTTAAAAAACGACCTTGGCTCTCAGGTCGACCCAGCCATGACCGTCTTCTTTAAAGGCGTGATGCTGTTCCGGTCAGCTGTGAAACGTGGGCGAACAAAAGATGTGAAGTTTTTTGAATGAATTTAAAAGAGGAACTGTGATTTTTACCGTGTGTATTTACCTTGTTTTCCTATTTTACATTTGCAAATAGGCTGTCTTAAAGTGTAAGTAACTATGCCTGCGAAGTGTTTAGTGCCTCGAATTATCGGATTAGTATACTTTAAGTGGAAAATAAAGATTGCTAAAATTAGTTTCACGGAAATATTAGGCACGTGGGAAAACCAGTGTAGTATGTGTGAAACATTTTCTTACGTCTGATAGTATTGTATACGGTAAATACGTGTTTCACATGTTAAAAGTATACATGACCAAAAGTAAATGAATGCCTGTCTTCCGATTTTTATTGAATTTCAAGATCTGGAGTAACAGATAGGACACAGACTAAAAGAATATTTTTTAAAAAGAATTGGAAATAAACTTGTGTAGATGGACCTTTAGCATGTATTGTTTTGTACGTCATTACCATAGTCAAACTATGCACCATCCACAGGTGTCAGTATAAAGGTGTTACTTGATATGACTATTTATGTATGTGTTTAAAATAAAAAGGTTAGTGAGAAAGACCTTAAATGGATTATAGACTGTTTACTCGGTGGACAAGAAGAATACTGCGAATATCCTGGGTGGACAAGAAGAACAGGGTGGACATGGAGCACTTCAAAAATCCTGGGCGGACAACAAGAATACTGCGAATATCCTGGGCAGACAACAAGAATACTGCGAATATCCTGGGCAGACAACAAGAATACTGCGAATATCCTGGGCAGACAACAAGAATACTGCGAATATCCTAGGCAGACAACAAGAATACTGCGAATATCCTGGGCAGACAACAAGAATACTGCGAATATCCTGGGCAGACAACAAGAATACTGCGAATATCCTGGGCGGACAACAAGAATACTGCGAATATCCTGGGCGGACAACAAGAATACTGCGAATATCCTGGGCGGACAACAAGAATACTGCGAATATCCTGGGCGGACAACAAGAATACTGCGAATATCCTGGGGATGGGGGGGGGGGGCAATAAGAATGATGCGAATATACTGGTTGGACAAGAAGAATATTGCGAATACCCTGGGTGGACAAGAAGTATAGAGTGGAAAGAAGCATACTGAAAATATTCTGGGTGGACAAGAAGTATAGAGTGGAAAGAAGCATACTGAAAATATTCTGGGTGGACAAGAAGTATAGAGTGGAAAGAAGCATACTGAAAATATTCTGGGTGGACAAGAAGTATAGAGTGGAAAGAAGCATACTGAAAATATTCTGGGTGGACAAGAAGTATAGAGTGGAAAGAAGCATACTGAAAATATTCTGGGTGGACAAGAAGTATAGAGTGGAAAGAAGCATACTGAAAATATTCTGGGTGGACAAGAAGTATAGAGTGGAAAGAAGCATACTGAAAATATTCAGGGTGGACAAGAAGTATAGAGTGGAAAGAAGCATACTGAAAATATTCTGGGTGGACAAGAAGTATAGAGTGGAAAGAAGCATACTGAAAATATTCTGGGTGGACAAGAAGAATATTGCAATTATACTGAGTGGACAAGAAAAATGTTGCGAAAGCACTGGCTGAACAAGAAGAATATTGCGAATATCATAGGTGAAAAAGAAGAATATAGCTAAAATTCTGGGTGAGCATGAAAAATATTGCGAACAAACTGGGTGGACAAGAAGAATGTTGCAAATATACTGAGAGGACAAAAAGAATGTTGCAAATATACTGAGAGGACAAGAAGAATGTTGCAAATATACTGAGAGGACAAGAAGAATGTTGCAAATATACTGAGAGGACAAGAAGAATGTTGCAAATATACTGAGAGGACAAGAAGAATGTTGCAAATATACTGAGAGGACAAGAAGAATGTTGCAAATATACTGAGAGGACAAGAAGAATGTTGCAAATATACTGAGAGGACAAGAAGAATGTTGCAAATATACTGAGAGGACAAGAAGAATGTTGCAAATATACTGAGAGGACAAGAAGAATGTTGCAAATATACTGAGAGGACAAGAAGAATGTTGCAAATATACTGAGAGGACAAGAAGAATACTACGAATGTTCTTGATGTACTTCTGCGTCTTCTTTGTTCAAACGAACTATCCCTTATAATTCATGGTACTTTAATCGTGCTGACAAACACCTACCCGAAAGCATAAGCTGCTATACTTGGAACTGGCATCGTTTATAACATTTCTGTTTGCTGATCCACACTTGACTGTAGGACATCGGACTGTTGGAAATAATAATGTCACACCATCATCATCTTGATTACTTCTTACTTTTTCCTGTATCTCCCCCCCCGCCCCCTTTTTTTTTTTTCAACATTCCCGGGACGTATGTAGCTTAAGCGTTGCGAACGCGCTTCGGAATTACGTGATACCCAGTTCAATTCCTAATGCAGGCAACTTGGCAGGTAGCAATGACACTGTGCGAAAATTTGCCTGGTAAAACCAAAAAGCCAGCAAATGCCTGGAGTTCCAAAGGTTGATTTTAATTCCACATCTAGGACTGTAAGTTTAAGGTTTGACATGCGAATGTTGAATGTTGATTTAGGAATTGATTTCATAGCGTTCGGGACACTCACAAAGTGCACCGCCCCCATCTTCAGCAACAATCAAAGAGTAACAGTTCTGATGGCACCGGTAACTGTCTGATTGTATATCCGGCTCGTCTTTCCCTTGAGTGTTGAGCGTCGGCAAAATCCCCTTTATATTCCTCACAGCGCCATTCTTCTTAGACCGTAATGATCTAGCTGTGCCTCCGCACTGTTTACTCGCTTCCAAAGGGCCCTCACAACATCTAGCTTGTCATACATCAGTTCACTGCCACATGGTGCAGAAACGGCCAATACATCTGCCTGCTCATTTCCAAACACACCGGCATAACCTTGAGTATTCGACACGCAGTGGCACACAAAGCCACCATTCTAGTAAGAGAGCATGCCAGATGCCTTGTTTAACTGTAAAAAATAATTACGTTGGGGTGTCCTTGCGGCAACACAAAGCAACCTCCTGTTGAGCTTCGTTGGTAGGCTGACATTTCCATAGCCACCGACGAGAATTCTTGACAGCTTTTTGTTCTGTCATGGAAAGATGTCAGTGCATGAATAGATACAAGCTGTTGAAGATCGCAGAGTGCAAACAGGCTGGATCGCCCATGCCAGTCGACAATGCACTTGATGCTGATAACGATAGTAGTGGTGATGATGATGATGATGATAATGATGATGAGTTGATGTAGTATTAGAGGTTTTTGTTGTCAAGAGCTCGATTGTATACTCTGAAACAAGTTGAATGTATATTTATATACTTCAACCAGCAGGTAGTGTGATGGATGACGTATCACACCGACTGCCTTTATGTTCCAGTAAACTTCTTTGCACCTTTTCAGACTATGTCACCAGCAGTAGCACATAGGCTAGCACTTTTACTTGCTTGCTTGCTTGCTCAATGGTCATATATTCTGGTCCACAAGAGCGACGATTATTAACATTGAGCTAAACTTCTAGTTCGGCCCAGCCCAAAGATAGGTGCAAGGAAATGTTCAGGAAAGTAAAGGCGACCGACGTGACACTGATCATATCGCCTATTACTTTATGTAAAAGTGGTGCTAAAGAAAAAAAATCTTTTTTTTTTCCACATGACTCTCCTTCATCTTCGCTTTCATCAGCTGTAAACTCTAGCGAAAAGATCTGGGTTTTCATCAAACTCCAGACGTTAGCCTTGTTCCAAAACCCACGCATACAACTTTTAATGATGCCCAATTACTCAGCTCCTACGACACACTTGTCAGGGAGGCAGTGGCTCTATTCCCCTCCCCCCTCCACCCCCTCCCTGCCCTCACAATAGGGCCCGGAACCCACACGGGAAGTCACATGAAAAAGTCAAAGTGTTGCTGTGAGATGTTAGAAAACCGTTTACCGTTTCTTCCTGGGATTGTTTGACTGCGTGCACTGTCATTGATCTCTTCAGCGTCTGCATCTGGAGAGTTGTTATCTGACAATGTGATGCTCCCTTTGATACTGGCTGTCATACAGAAATAATAATGATTGCTATAAAACGTTGTACACTGACATTGATGACTTGCTCAGTGCAGTCAGTGGAATCAATACTTAATATACACACATGCTTGCATAATTTATACATGCATACGTATTTACACACATAGGACTGATTGTCAGACAGAAGACGGGTAGGCAGACATACAGGCATACACCATATACAAACATACATACATACATACATGTATATATATACATGCACACATTTTCACTCATACAGGCATACATACATGCACACACACAGGCATACTCGCACACAGACATACACGCACACATACATAAACATATATATTTATATACATGTATACATACTAGGGCTGTACCGAATATTCGCTGCGTATTCGCTTCGGGGCCGAATAGTGGACCTAATAACTATTCGGTATAGTTGCGGTCGGGCCGAATACGAATAGTGGTTACCTTACACCCGTTCCTGGACTGGTAGAAATTAAACATATCAAGATTTCCCACCTTGGTTCATACTGTCCAGCGTTATCTCTGTGCACCACCTACGAGCGAACCAGGTGAACGTCTGTTTGGTACAGCTGGAAATACCTTCAGTGAGACAAGAAGCTGCCTTAATGCTGACAATATGGAACAATTTGTGTGTGTGTGTGTGTGTGTGTGTGTGTGTGTGTGTGTGTGTGTGTGGAAAGCTAATGCCGCTTTCATGGATTAACTAAGCTGTCAGTGACAATTTACAAGTTTAGTTACTTGTTATAAAACTAAGAATACTTTCACTCCTATGTATTAGTTACCACAGACTGACTGACTGAAGAATGCAAAACATGAAATGTATTTAAATGTTTACTATTCTGTACTACGTTGTGTGAAGTAAAATGTCAGCGTACATTGACATTATGGATGTTTTCTTTTTAGGTCTGTTTTATACACGAAAGTGGAAGAATGGGCCTCGGTTTGAATAGTGGGAAGACAGAAGTAATGGTGGCATCAAAGAAAATAATTACTCCTAAATGTGTAATAAAAGTCAATGGTTTTATTTTGGGACAAGTACGGACATTTAATTATCTGGGCACATGGATAATATCAGATGGAAGATGCATTACTGAAATAGGAAACAGAATAGGAGAGGCAAAAACTGCATTTTATAAAACGAAGAACATCTTATGCAATATATCTTGGTCATTGAAGGTTAGAAAAAGAATTCTTGCTTGCTACATACATCCAGTGTTAACATATGGCTGTATGTCCTGGACAATCGGTAGGCAGGCCAAAAAATTTCTTGAAGCCTCAGAGATGTAGTATTACAGATCAATGCTTAAAATACCCTGATAGTGAACAAACATCGAACCGAGGCGAGCGGTGCTTACTACAAGGAGGCTGGTAAACCAGCAATAAACTGGGTTGAGCAGTGCTCACTACAAGAAGACTGGTGAACGAACATCGAACTGGGAAGAGCGGTGCTCACTACAAAAAGACTGGTGAACCAACATCGAACTGGGGCGTTCAGTGCTCACTGCAAGAAGACTGGTGAACGAACATCGAATTGGGGAGAGCGGTGCTCACTACAAGAAGACTGGTGAACGAACATCAAACTGGGGCGAGCGGTGCTTTCTTCAGGAAGACTAGTGAACGAACATCGAACTGGGGCGAGCGGTGCTTTCTTCAGGAAGACTAGTGAACGAACATCGAACTGGGGCGAGCGGTGCTTACTACAAGAAGACTGGTGAACGAACATCAAACTGGGGCGAGCGGTGCTTTCTTCAAGAAGACTGGTGAACGAACATCGAACTGGGGCGAGCGGTGCTTACTACAAGAAGGGGCTGGTAAACGAGCAATGAACTGGGTCGGGCAGTGCTCACTTCAAGAAGACTAGTGAACGAAAATCGAACCGAGGCGAGCGGTGCTCAGAGATGTGGTATTACATAACAATGCTTAAAATACCCTGGATAGCGAAAAAAAAATAAAAGCTACCAAGAAGTTTTGATATAGGCGGGATCCCGAAGACAACTACTCACAGACATCAGAAGGAGACAGTCGTCATTTTCCGGCCATGTTATAAGATGAGGGAAAATGGAACTTGAGGTGCCCACTGGAAAGATATGTGGAAGGGGGGATAGAGGAAGAGAAGATTCTTGATAGTCTTGTTGCATGGCATAGAGGTGTGTCAGCATACGAACTAATACATGCTGCAGAAGATCGCAGATTGTGGCGAGGCATAGTCGCCCATACCAGTCGGAAAAGCACCTGATGATGATGATTCACTATTCGTATTCGGCCGAATAGTTAGTCCAGCTATTCGTATTCGGCCGAATAGTGAAAATCACTATTCGCTACAGCCCTACATAACTACATACACACACACACATACATACATACTCCAACAAGCATGTCTAGAAGCTGGCTATTTATGAATATTTTCTTTGCAGTGGGAGTAAATCTGTCTGAGAGGCGAGGAACCAACAGTCTGCGTATCAATAAGTCATATCTGCAGAACGGTGTACACGCAAAATCCAAGTCCCGGAACAAGATGACTAAAGTCCAGAAGTAGACCTAAAATCAAAACTTTACAGCCGGGGAACACCAAAAAACACAAGATGACATGCATGCAGAACAAACGAAAGAACTATATTTTCAAAGAATTAAGATTTCGGCATGCAAGCCTGTCTAACATTCTGCCCTTCTAGTCTTTTTTCTTTCATTCATTTCATTTAGTAAGACAGACAGACATGCAGGCAAACAGACATACGCGTAAATGCCTGCATGTATGTATGTGCCTGCGTGTTGATACCTGGGTTTGCTGCTTCATCCTGTAAGGTCCTGGACTGATTCTCAGGACTTCCAGACTCCTGGCCACTCTCATCCACCTGGTCCTGCTGGGCGACGAGTTCCAAGACATCCTGTAGTAGATACGCCCTGTCGAAGTCCAGGTTGAACTCGTAAATCAGCTTGTCATCGTTGAAGTGGTAGTCGTCAGTGACTGCAACAACAAACAGTCGTTGATAGTTTATATTGCAGACGGTTGTTACTGAAGCTCACCCTCTATGGCTTCATCTCACCTTTACTCGCGCCATCTTACTTTAACTCGCTTTCTCTTACTTTGACTCGCTCCCTTTTACTATGACTCGCTTCAGTCTTATTTTAACGCATACCACCTCTCGTTGATTATCTCTATCTCGCATTAACTATCTCCATAAAATTTTTACTCGCTCTTTCTCACATTAACTCAACCCATCTCGTTTTTAGTTGCATCATCTAACTTTACTTCTCCAAATCTGAGTATAACCTTCTCTATCTCAATTGAACACGTTACATCTCACTCTGGCTCCATCTCACGTTGACTAGTTCCATCTCTCTTGAACCCACTCCATCTCACTTTAACTCGTTCCATCTCGCTTCAACCCACTCAATCTCACTTTAACTCGTTCCATCTCACTTAAACCCACTCCATCTCACTTTAACTCTTTCCATCTCACTTTAACACGTTCCATCTCACTTGAACCCACTCCGTCTCACTTTAATTCGTTCCATCTCACTTGAACCCACTCCATCTCACTTTAACTCGTTCCATCTCACTTAAACCCAATCCATCTAACTTTAACTCTTTCCATCTCACTTTAACTTGTTTCATCTCACTTGAGCCCATTCTATCTCACTTTAACTTGTTCCATCTCACTTGAACCCACTCCATCTCACTTTAATTTGTTCCATCTCACTTTAACTCGTTCCATCTCACTTGAACACACTCCATCTCACTTTAACTCGTTCCATCTCACTTGAACCTATTCCATCTCACTTTAACGCGTTCTATCTCGCTTTAACTCGTTCCATCTCAGTTGAACCCACTCCATCTCACTTTAACGCATTCCATCTCATTTCAGTCCATTTCATATCACTTTGACTCGCTCCATCACACCTAATAAGCTTCTTCTTCTTCAGCTTCTTCTTCTTCTTTTTCTTCTTCTTCTTCTTCTTCTTCTTCTTCTTCTTCTTCTTCTTCTTCTTCTTCTTCTTCTTCTTCTTCTTCTTCTTCTTCTTCTTCTTTTTCTTCTTCTTCTTCTTCTTCTTCTTCTTCTTCTTCTTCTTCTTCTTCTTTTTTTCTTCTTCTTCTTCTTCTTCTTCTTCTTCTTCTTTTCTTTTTCTTATTCGTCTTCGTCTTCTTCATCTTCCTCTGCGTTTTCCCTTAAAGTAATGCTTTGAAGGTTATTTTGTGGTTTACAGCTAGGTCTTAATATCTGCACTCTTCTTCCCAATACAATCGATTAAAGAGAACTTCTCATGCGTCGCCTTATTAGTAGGCAACTTGTCTACTCCATCTGCTCACCCACCCCAATGGCACCTGAGAGCCCACCCCAGTGGCACCTGGGAACATACCCCAATGGCACCTGGGAACCCACACGGGAAGCACCTACCGTGTTTAATGATATCCCTCTGCAGCAGGTCTCTCAGCTTGGCGATGACCTCCTCTCGGTTCTCGTGGCCCTCGGACACGACCAAGAAGTCCACCAGATCACAGCCGAGAAATGCTTGAGAGTACAGCGAGCCTCGGAGATAAAACTCCTGTATAACATCGGCATTGCTGTCCTTTAGTCTGCGTTTCAGAAGCAGAGAAGAGAACTGGTCAGTAAATGTCGAAATTGGGATGACAGCGGCCGAGTCAATAATGAGAAATTTCTTAGCGCTACACAAGCTACGAATGTAAAGCCGAACTGAAAGGGCGAGGGGGGGGGGGGGGGGGGGGGGGGGGGAGAGACGATTGAACGTTTCGATCAGTCTTTATCTACAGGCTTTCTTTTTATTATTTTTCGTTTCGTAATGGTTCTTCCTGTTACTATTTTCTGTTCCAAACAATTTGTGTTATATTTTGTTTTCTGTTCCTGTTTGTTGATGAAGGCTTGTCGCTGCAACGCCATATGTTTGTTCAATGTATTTTTTTTTTCAATTTTTTTTTCTTCAGATGCAAAGAAACTTTTTGAGATAAGCCTTTATCAGTAGAGAAAACCAACGAATCAGTAAAAACCGGCCAGGTCACATAAAAACGGAAATGCGAAAAATAAGATCAGGAAAAGCTATAATTAAACGAAAAGAAACGCCAACTGATACTGGTCAACTTATGCAAGACCCTTAAGCTACATAGGTAGTCTTGCATTCCCTAATGTAACTTTCATCTACGTGAGGGATTCTGCTGTAGGAGCTGCAATGTAATTTACACCAATATTCGCATAAAGTGTTGTATTAAATGCATCATTGAAACGGGACCAGGGTTGGCGAATGTGCTACTTTCGTATAACTGGTATTATTTTATATTTTTACAGAACAAAACTGTACTTTTGTACACTGTACCACGCGCGATATTTTGCTACGTTTAAGTAATTTTATACAAACATATTGTAAATGTTGGCATTGTGTTCAAACTTTATCATCATCATGAGGTGCCTTACCGACTGGCATGGGCGATCATGCCTCTCCCAAATCTGCGATCCCCTGCAGCATGTATCAGTTCGTGTGCCGACACACCTCCATGCCATGCAACAAGACTGTCAAGCATCTTCTCTCGTTGTCTTCCTCTATCTCTCCTTCCACATATCTTTCCAGTGGTCACCACATGTTCTATTTTCCCTCTTCTCATAACATGGCCGAAAAATGATGACTGTCTCCTTCTGATGTCTGTGATAAGTTGTCTTCGGGCTCTCGCCTCTTTCAAAACCATTGGTTGCTCTTTTTAGCTGTCCAAGGTATTCTAAGCATTCTTATGTAAAACCACATCTCCAAGGCCTCCAGAAATTGTTTGGCCTGCCTACCGATTGTCCAGGATTCACAACAATATGTTAAAACTGGATATATGTAGCAAGCAAGAATTCTTTTTCTAACTCTCAATGACAAGGATATAATGCACAAGATGTTTTTCATTTTACAAAATGCAGTTTTTGCCTGTCCTATTTTATTTCTCATCTCAGTTATGCATCTTCCATCTGATGTTATCCATGTGCCCAGATGTTCAAACTTTACCTTAAAAAAAATTTTTGGAGGGAAATAAAATAAAGTCTCACTCCGAAGCACAGACAGAAAGAGTTTTCCGTCTGCTTAAAACAATATTATGAATTTTAAAAACCGTTCCTATTTTTGACGATTTCAACAATCAATACATTGACAAGATCTTCAGATCTACAAATGAAACAATTGCAGCTTTGTAACAAACTGAGCATAACAAATGGTATACCAACAATTTAATGGACACAGAATTTCCATTATCATCAAATATAAGGTACCCTAATTTACCTATATATATATATATATATATATATATATATATATATATATATATATATATGTGTGTGTGTGTGTGTGTGTGTGTGTGTGTGTGTGTGAGAGAGAGAGAGAGAGAGAGCCTGCTCAAATACGCTTTAATTGTTTTGTAATAAAAAAATTTAAAATTTGGTACATTTGGGTGTGTTTTGGTACCTTTTCCAGAAACATGTTGTACTATTCCGGGGGAAAAAAAAACGGCAGCTCTGAACGGGGACCACGACTAGCTGACTGGTTCAAGCACCGTTTTCTGATTTGCAGATCGGTGCCCTCAAACCCGTGCCGATGCAGCAGCGTTCTCGGGGCCACTAGGTGTCTTCGCCATGAAGACAATAAAGTCTAGCCACGACATTGACAGAATCTACAAGTCTCTGGGGATCCAACTCACGTAGTGCACGTAACGCCTAACACAGCTGTATCTGATATATTTTAGTTAAGGTATTTTGCCTTTCGCATCTTTTTTTCTTTTCTGGCTAGATTCATTTCCTGTGTGCGCACGTGCCTCAGAACTTTAACTGACTTTAGTTTTTTTTTTTTCTTTTTCTTTTCTGTAATGATATTTCTAAGTCAATGACATAATGTATCCAAATTCGCCTACTGTCATGTATATCCTTGGCACAATGGCTCTATGATTTCACATTGGCTGTTTGATGTCACATTTGCAGTGTGATTTCACAATGGCTGTTTGATGTCAATATGGCTATGTGACGTCACAATGGCTGTGTGATGTCACAATGGCTGCGTGATGACACAATGGCTGTGTGATGTCACAATGGCAGAGAAACTAATTAACCACGATTGACGGAAAGGGACATTGACATCAGAACATTAATGCAAACATAAGAAAGCAACAGGGTGTTTATAATAGAGGTAATGAGAAGACAGCGGATGCGCTGCCACAAAGATAACATTATGTGAAGTAAGCCCTCAGCCGCAACAATTCCCCCCACCCTCCCCGCCCCCCCCCCCTTTTTCCCCTTCCGCTGTACAGTTTTTTAGGTAAAAAATGGGAAAGAGGGCGCATAGGCCCTCCCTAAAATAGGTTAACAGAACGGGGGGAGGAGAACGGGGCGATAGTGTTGACACAACTATGGGTTGCCTAATGAATTTACTACGTTAGTTTTTAGGTTAGTTTTTAAATCGCACAGCGAGAAGCATTTCTTGTGATTTTCATTTGTAAATGAACGGAGTCACAATGTGATGAACCGTTTAAAGTAACACCAAAATCTCAACTGCTGCTACCAACACTATCAGTCTTTTTTTATTTTATTTTATTCTTCTGCCTTCTACCTACTTCTCCTTAGACCCCCCCCCCCCCCTCTTTTCCACCCACACCCACCCCCATTCGCGACGAATGGATCATAGACTCTCAGTCGAATTATAACAAGTCGTTGTATCCTTCGCTATTAAATGCAGCTCCACCCCCTTTTTTTTTGTTGCCCCTTCCCCCCCCCCCCCCCCCCGCCCCCACATCGTCTCTATCTTTTAACTTCCCTCTCTAGCTCCTTTCTCCGTGGTTTTGTGGTATGCTTTTTTTTTTCTATGCCTGTGGGTTTCACTGCACAGGCATTCTAGTTATACTGCTCCCTGTTTTCCCAACGTGTGTCCAATCCAACGCAGCGTCTCTTCTTCACCTCTTGGCCCACTGGAACTTGTTTAGTTCTCTCTTCAAGCTCAGCCATGGCTTTTTTTTTTAAATTTAAAAAAACAAAAAAAAACACGCTGTATTCGCAACAAAGTTTCTAAAATAGCTGCCGAAACTCATCATAAACTGTCTTGTACAGTATTACTGGAAAAACGATGCCTCAAAAAGGTGCTGGTACTGTCTACCGTTGCTAATCGCTGGGAGAAAAATGCTCTATCGACTATTACTACTGCTACCTTCATATATATATATATATATATATATATATATAAAATTGATCTTTGCTCCCAAATCGATCCAGCCAAAAATCGGTACCAAGAAATGTCACGTAAAGTGAAAGAGGCTGGAGTTATATTAACCACATTCACCCAGATGGGTCCGACCGGTCTACAACCGAATCACCACTGCATGAAAAGGGATCTTTACACTACCATATACCCGATGCCGGAGCCGCGTGACACACATCTTTTATATCCTGAGGAAGTGTGTAAACAGTCGATGACGGAGTATCAACAGAGAGTATTATCAATCTCAGATGTCGCCTGGTGTGATGTGAACTGTTTAGGACAACGCCTCTTTCACGACTTTTCTAATGCAGAAATATTCAATCTTCTGTGTTATTTACGAACAAGTTGTCTGACTAGTGTATCGGATTACTATCAGAACAGGATGGTAGGGTGTTACACGCGTAAAAGAAATAAGGACGTTTTGGGAAAGGGGGGCGTGGAGTAGGGTGTATATAGGAATTGAAACAGATATGGAGACATAAATAGGGATATACATGTATACTTAGAGGTACATACTGATGGCGGACAGGACAGATGACAGAAAGACAGACAGATAGAGTGAGAGAAAGAAAGCTTCAGTTTTTAACCTAAATAATCCTTCTGCAAGGAGCGGTTGGACATGTAATTATGACCTTGGGCTTTCATGCGGCAGACCGGGGTTTAAGTCTTTTGTAAAGCGATCGGCGTTTTTTTTTTTTTTCAGGGGCAAAAACAAATATCTAATCTGCAAAGTTTGTGGTAACTGCACCAGTCTTGTCGGCCTATGCGGTAACTGCACCAGTCTTGTCGGCCTATGCGGTAACTGCACCAGTCTTGTCGGTCTAAATGCTCAGGCCAAAGACTCCACTTCTCTCGACACGGCCCTACAAAAGTGGTACTGTATGCACTAAAGACACTTTTTAAAGATATTTCTTAGCTGCATTTAAATTTAGTCTCATGGAGACTCACTATATCCAGAACAGGGAGATTTTCAGCGGATGAAGGGGGGATAGGGTTTACAATTACCAATCATGCTACTTGTTTTTAAATTATTTGTAAACTACACATCCGGAATAACGTTCAACTCTGCCAGGACCTCACAGAGCGATAAACACCCAGTGACACAAAGTGCCACTATGCGGATGGAGATCACCTGTAAAGAGGTCCCGGACAACCCGTTTAGCTTTTAGGCCCGTCTATATTTAGAGCCCCTGGCAAAAGCCAGGGTCGGGCGTCAAAATAACCAAAAATTGCATCCCACAAAGGGTTGACGAGATATTAAACACAATCTATTTCAAGGGATGTAATCGGGATTAAATGCACTCTTGACTTGAGACGACAGGGTTATCAATATTTGCCCTTAGTTGAGGTTTCAACTTCACTGCAATCGGGTTTCCCCATTCTTGCTCCGTTCCTCAACAGACAGACAGATTGGCTCTGCACCACTTGGTCGTAAACTGATGTATGACAAGTAAGATATTGTGAGAGCCCTTTAAGTACCGAGTGATAAACACCTGGTGACACAAAGTGCCACCATTCGGATTAGGATCACCCGGAGTCAGGCCTCATAAACCCCGTTCAGCCCTTATGCTGGGTTTTATTAGGGCCCCCGGCAACAGAGGGCGGTAAGTAATATTTCTTTTATATAAGTTAGGATATATAAGTTTAGTAATCTCTCAAATGGAATATAACAATGCAGGGTTGCCTGATGTTTAAAACAGCCCTTGACATATCTTTTGTTCAGCCCAAACATTCATAAAGGATTTCTCTGTACTGGACAACAAGTTACTTCGTCACCGTACAGTGGAGCCTCACTTTAACTGTGCTATATGGTTGAAATGGGGTTCAGGAATTTGTACCAGTTTGATTCTCATCCTTTAGGTGGTAATCCAACAGGTTAATCTACCGCAATCCTGGAGGGGAGGCTGGGGGCAGTCAACCACAATTTTAAAATTTTGGTTACGTCAGTTTCATAACGCTCTGATCGCTGTGGGTTTGATTCTAATTGCAGGTGTTTTTGGTGATCCCTAGGGTTCGATGGTGGAGCTCAGGAGTTCGAGTGCTTGGTGGTGATTCAACTGCTCTACAAGGAAGGGGAGGGGCGCTGAGCCATGTGGGATCAAATCAGATGTAACGATGTCGATATGCTACCTGAAGGTTTGATCCACCCGATGAATTCAATCATATCATGAATGACAACCACAGTTCAACCTCCAGGCGAGTTGAATAGATGAATGGATGGATAAATGAATGAATGAATACTCAGACAGACATCATGTGTTCCCATCAGTATAACTATTGGACTGATCCAGACTCACAGAATCGATACCACGGATTTCTCTGAGAAGATAAAGCAGACTGGTCTCAAGTTTACCCTAGTAACCCTCATGTGATGTAAAGGGGGAGGGTGAAGGGGCTGCCTGGTCTCGAGGCATGGTGTCCGCCTCGAGTGCTGGTTCAATCCCCCAAAGGCTGGGAATTTTTCAGGTGGGTTTGGACTTCTAGTAATTCCCCCCGGTCTCTGGGTAGTGAGATCGGAAGCCCGTGTGCGTTATTGCGCTCTTAAAAAATCCCTTGGCAGTTGGAAATCGAAAAGAGTAGCCTAACGGCGCTGCCCGGACAAAATTTGGAATTAAAAATTTACCCTTAAAATTTCAGGATCCTCGCCTGTGCTACAGAGCCTGTGTACTGTGCTGAGCTTTTTCTTACTCAGACTTGAGTAAGAAGGAAAACGGAGCACTTATGGGTTACTTCCCGTGTACCATGATAGTGGTTCGTTGTCCAAACTACAAGCTTCAAACTTCATGTGATGTATCACGCTTAACTTACTTCCGATAGACATATGTGATGTATCACTTTTCACTTACTTCCGATAGATATATGTGATGTATCACTCTTCACTTACTTCCGATAGATATCAAGTCCATAGTAGAAGCTGGATAAATCAGGTTTCAACTTGTATGTATCGTCATCAAAGGAAAAGCGATAAAACCAGTTTTGATCTTTGAATTCTTGCTCGTCGCTAACTGAAAAACAAACATAAACCACGCACTGACTTAATTGTTACACACAGGCATCAACAGGCGTCACGTTTTTTTAAAGTGACATGATGATCATTCGACTACGAGAATTGATTGCCTCTTTAAAATTGTTATGGTTAGTAACTCTCCTGAGCCGTTTTAGACATGACCAGTCGGTCCAGAAGGTCGTCGTGTTGCCAATGATGGATTGTGTCGAGGCTCAGAACCCAGAACTGCATCCGCCTGGTAAAGCTGCTCGGCGTGAGCACCAGCACTGAATTTATCTGACAGTGTCTTTATTCATTCATAATAGCAAGAGTTGCCTATTACTTTATACTGGTAGCTTCGGATTCCTCTCTGGTCCTCTATTACTAACTTCGTGATATCTTAAGAGTGTGTGTGAGAGAGAGAGAGAGAGAGAGAGAGAGAGAGAGAGAGAGAGAGAGAGAGAGAGAGAGAGAGAGAGAGGAGGGGGGATGGTTCACATTGTTTGGATATGTAATAGCAGTTGATGGCAGACGTGGGGGAAAGAAGAATAGAGATGGCTAAAAAAATATTTAAAAACTCAACAAAAATGCTGAAATTATTGGCATCTAGAGAGTTAAACAATGCATTAAAAATTAGCAGAGGATTATACTAAAATGAATTCACCGAAATAACCAGGAAGCTGGACGAAGGGGGAAGGAAGGAAACACACAAACATACACACGCATGCACGCATATTCGCTCACACACGGGCGCGCAAACTCACATACACACACGCAAGGAAACAACCAAACTGTTCGGCCTGAGCCTTATCTATCTCAGCTGCAGTCACCCTTGCTGTTTCCATCACAAGAAGATGGTATTATAGCAACAGTCTGTTACAGCAGTGTCCTTTGGCCATGTTTACACCCATTGTCTACCAACACAAGCGAACGCGTTTCCAGACCCGCCTAACAGCCACCATACACAAGAAGATGAACAAATGTAGTTACATCCGATGTCACAAAAAGTCCAATTGTTAGCTGAAGCGACATCGTTTAATTCTCATCCCTGGTGGGATTACGCACTTCAATCCTGGTAGAGATAAACTACCTAGGTTAGTTCCACAAAGGTCTCCCCCCCCCCCACCCACAGAGACCGCTCATATACGCACTAGCTCACTTCCGATTTGTTGACCTTGAGTCGCCCGACCTGGGCACAAGGTGACCCTTGTGTTCCCCAATGCCGTTGATATCCCGCGTTCTATATTTCAGCATGCCAGCGCTTTTAACCCTGCAAAAACATGTAGATACTGGGTCTAACTCACAACCCCCTACAGAGAGTGCTGCAACCTATGTCACATTCATTTTCTTTCTCTGTTAGAAAAAGTAAATGCAAGACAAGCCAGAAAGCAAATAACAGAGCGACACACCCGTAACTCTCACGAATGTAGACCAGTCCAAATAAGTTACGAATGGAACGAGACCTACTTTCTCCGGGGAGACTAACGTTGAACAAAATTACCTACCCTAACAGGTTACGTGATAACGCCGGACTTCTTACGGCCCACCTGGACTTTTCCTCGCCAACTGGTTGAAAAACACTGATTTTTTAGGATATGGCAGAACCCGTCATCTAACACTCCTCCCACCCCAGGCTGTTCTGTGATTTCACTCGACGATTTTACGTTCAATAGTTTGCTACTGCCTTTGAAAGGACAGCTTTCACTATTACGCTTGAAACCAAAGCAAGGCGATCTGCTGGGAAATCACATGCAGCTGGGATCGAACCCGGTAACCTCGTAATTACAAAGCGTGTTCCCAAAGTCTAGGCCACGGACGCTGACAACTGGTGTAGAAAACTGCCTTTATAAAGCCACTCTAAGGTACCTGCACTGATTGTTCCCGTGAGGAGTTGGTTGTAATGTCTCCGACCTCGGCATCGACTGCGGCAAAGACGTGCTTCGCCATGATTCACTCCCAGGTCACACAATCTGTTTTTATAATTATTTCGCAGAAGAGCTGGTAACAGATCTAAATGGCTCCTCAACTTGGTTTGAGAGGGATTGATTGATTGATTGATTTGATTTAAGAACTGACATCACAGCACTCGGCAGCCAGCGAATAGTTCCGATACTAATGGTGCCAGTAGCATTCTGATTAAACGTCCGTCTTGCCTTTCCTCTGAGCCTCGAGCATCTGCCAGAACCTCTCGTCACTTCCAGCTGCATCAATCTCACCAGACTGTGGTGATATATCTCCTCCTCCGAACTGTACACGCTCTCCCACAGGGCACTAACCACGTCTGCCTTATCATGCGTCAGTATTCCAGCAAGCTGTGCAGAGCCAGCCAGTCTGTCCGCTTGTTCATTTCCCAACACACCGGCAAGCCCTGGTGAAAAAAAACCCCAGACAATACTTTTCACCCGTGTCCTTCGCAACGAGGCATGCCACTCTGCACGAAGCATGCCTGTCCTGATCTTCATCATCATGCTTTCTGAGGCCGTTACAATCACGATGTATGTGTGTGTCGTATTCTCTAGCCAGCGGGAAGCTGCAGTGACCGCCTCCGCCCCCATTCTTAAGTTGGATGTTGTGGTATCATGTGCTACGCTCTCCTGCACCAAACGTCTACCATTAACTTTTGCTAAGAAACACCAAGCATACTTACTTTACTTTTTCCTTCCACGTATGCCGCTAAGCGTTGTGGGGAGATGCAAGTTCCTGTCATAAGCAAGGCGGGCAGCATCTGATGTTCTGAGGCCATGCTTTTGGCAGGTTTCGGAGACCCCGTCAATCCACACTTTCCTTGGTCTTCCTCTTGCCTTATATCCTGAGCTTCTTTGGTTGAAAATTTGTGATGTTATTTGATAATTTTTCATCCTGGTTAGATGTCCAAACCATTTCATTCTTTGATGTTCTATGTAATCTAAACATGGTGTAGTTTTGACAGTGTTTCTAATGTCTATATTCTTTATTCTGTCTAGTCTGGTCTTATTCGCTGCTTTTCTTAGACATTTCATTTCACAGGCTTCTATTTTTCTTTCATGGGTCTTGTTGATTGTCCATGTCTGGCACTGGTAGCAGAGTGTTGGAATGAAGATGGTGTTTATCAATTGTCTTTTGGTCGTCATGGTTATATCTGGATGTTTAAGCAGAGGTGATAGTTGGTATGTGACAGCATTTGCTTTCTGTATTCTTGTTTCTATCTCTCTTTCCATTCTTCCATCCTCTGTAAATATACTGCCCAAGTATTTGAACTCTTTGGTTTGCTTGATTTTGGCACTTCCAACATTTATATTCAGTGGCCTGTGTGTTCTGCTGATCTTCATAACTTCTGTTTTTTCTGTACTGATTCTCATATTATGTTGTAAACAGCTGTTGTTGAGAGTAGTCAGATGTTCCTGTAGATCATATTCATTTTGATACAGTATGCTTTGATCATCAGCAAAAAGTAATTCGTTTATAGCATACACGTCTGGGTTTGCTTCTACAGTGATCTTATCCATGTATGTTATGAAAAGTAATGGTGACAGTACACATCCTTGTCTGACACCAAGCATGAGAGGGGAAAATCACTGAACTGATCCGTGGTTTTAGTGATCATGTGAGATGGCCAACCATGACCGCCTGCCTTTATCGACATCGTACATAATAATGGCGAAAGTGATATTCTTCTTCTTCTTCTTCTTCTTCTTCGCGTTCATCGGCTGTAAACTCCGGCAAAAATGTCTGGTTGTTTGTCCACTTCTGGACTCTAGTTCTGTTCCAGAACCTGGGTGTTGTGTGCACATCCGTTTCACAGGTCTGACTCATTTGCGTGAAGACTATTGGTTCCTTGCCTCTCAGGCAGATGTACTCCGACTTCGAAGGAAGCTACAAAATAGTCGACTCTTACGATATACTTTAGGGCAGGCAGTGGGTCAATTCTTGTCCCGCCCCCCCCCCCCCTCTTCCCCCTCTCCACTGAGGCTACTAAACCCACACAGGTAATAGTCATGTATGATAGCAAGGATAATAATGCTTACAGCATGAAAAAAAAAAAAAAAATAACTGGGTTCCTCAACCCTTCCTATGACATACCGTGGTGAAACACCCCGTGTTGCTTTAAAATTTGCAAAGCACAAACGGCTTCGTCACGTGACTGTACATGGTGCATCTTCAGCAGCCAATCAATGAGGTCTCGTGCAATGAAGCATTTCTTGTGTTTCCGGAGATGGTGTCGTCTGTCTTTCACAAGCCCTTGCTGGTGAATTTGCTTCCTTTGGAGAAAATACATCAGGAAAAATAGAAGAGCTGTCAATAAAGTGGTAAGATAAACAAACGGGCATGTACAATGTATGGGCGCCAGAGCTTGGGCGGCTAAGCGGCATGTATATAAAGGGGTACCAGAGCTTGGGAAGCTAGGCGGTATTTGTATGTAGGGGTGCCAGAGCTTTGGAAGCTGGGCGGCGTGTGTGTGTAGGGGCACCGGAGCTTGGGAAGCTGGGCGGCATGTGTGTGTAGGGGCGCTAGAGCTTGGGAAGCTGGGCGGTGTGCATATGTATGGCCGACAGAGCTGGGAAAGCTAGGCGGTGTGCATGTGTATGGCCGACAGAGCTTGGGAAGCTGGGCGGTGTGCATATGTATGGCCGACAGAGCTTAAGAAGCTAGGCGGTGTGCATGTGTATGGCCGACAGAGCTAGGAAAGCTAGGCGGTGTGCATGTGTACGGCCGACAGAGCTAGGAAAGCTAGGCGGTGTGCATGTGTATGGCCGACAGAGCTGGGAAAGCTAGGCGGTGTGCATGTGTATGGCCGACAGAGCTAGGAAAGCTAGGCGGTGTGCATGTGTATGGCCGACAGAGCTAGGAAAGCTAGGCGGTGTGCATGTGTATGGCCGACAGAGCTGGGAAAGCTAGGCGGTGTGCATGTGTATGGCCGACAGAGCTAGGAAAGCTAGGCGGTGTGCATGTGTATGGCCGACAGAGCTAGGAAAGCTAGGCGGTGTGCATGTGTATGGCCGACAGAGCTTAAGAAGCTAGGCGGTGTGCATGTGTATGGCCGACAGAGCTGGGAAAGCTAGGCGGTGTGCATATGTAGGGACGCTAGAGCTTGGGAAGCTAGGCATGTTTATGTAAGGGTGTATGTCAAAAGACTTGCCATAAAAAAATATTTCATTCCTGTGAGTGGCTACCGCCCAGGCACCCATGACGCTTTTAAGACGGCTCTGTCTGTCTACATGTAGTTTATACTTTAAGTTACACTAAAATATGACTTGAAATAGACTATGTAATACAGTATTAGTATAAGGGATCACGAACGCCTCTGGTCACGAACTAATCGGCCCACGAACACAATGTCAAAAGAAATGAAGGTTCGATTCGCGAACGCTGCCTTGGCCCACGAAATATGACTTTGGCGCCTTGTTTCTGGTTCGCGAACAGCATTATCGTTATCGTTAGTTGCGTATCCTTCACAGGACGTTGCAGAACAAACCCCATCTATTTTTTTGCTGTTGTGGTTTTTCTAGGCAAGTTTACGTCCAGTAGTTTGCCATTGCTTTTCTTGACAGTCAGCTTCTCGATACGACTGTTAAACCAACGTAAGACCAGAAGATGGGATCGAACCCAGCACCCCCCCCCCCCCGCCTCCCTCCCATTACTAAGCGCGTTAGAAACAGCTAAGCCACAGACACCGACGAACAGCATTATATCTTGTGAAAATACAAGTCATCGAGCCAGCAATCAAACTACTTGCTGGGATACAAACAAGAGACAAAACATCGAAAATAATGAAAATGCCGGACGTTATAATAGAATAGGATTCTCCTGCAATGGACTAGTTGTCGCGCGCCCACGTGGGTAAATACACTGATATAGTGAGGGTGTGGGTTTGAACCTTAACAATGCCCACCCACGTGAGAAACTGGACTATTATCTAAGCTATGTTGATCCTAGACAGTCCTGGATAGCCAAGAAAACAGCGAGTGGCTCGTTCCATGAAATGAAAGTTGCTGTACTTGTATCCACAGGAGTAGGAGAAGGGATAGCTAGATATCTGGATACACCCACTGTGATATAATCCAGGTGCTCAGTTAACCCCTCCGACTGCTCTCCTCTCCTGGCATTACTTAAAAGCCCCCATCAAGTGATTTAAATATTTGTTAGCTGAAGTAAACTAATATGCACAAAGACACTTGAACCTAAGTACACAATTTACTCAACTATGTGGTAACAACATCAAACAGGATTTATTTGAATAAATCGAAATTAAAATGAACTTGTTTAGGCTAGTAGAGTTGAAATTATGTGAATGATGAAATCATAAAGGTATTGGAAAGTAACAACCTTTGGACAGTTCTCGGCTTGAGACCCTGCCTATCTTTTCCAGTTTGTCGTCCTCACTGCTTTCAGCAGGTCGTTACACTCAGACGGTCGGCAAATAATGGATACCTACTAGTCCCTGCCCAATGTGGGAACTGTGATAAAGAAACAAGCGCATATTTGTAGTATCTGCTCTAGATGTACACTAAGCATGTATATTATAATATAAAACATGTTTATTTAAATAAAACATTTCATCTCTCCCTCATGTTCACATTCACTCCTGTCCAATTTGGAAGGGCTTATGTCTCACATTCCAACTGTTACATCTTCTGCCTTCCTCTACACGTCCTGTAATGATAGTCAAGTCTTCTACGTCAGGTGCCATCTCTCGTACAGACTCAAAATGACAATCAGTCAGACAGAACCAGTTCTGGAATCTATGGTTGGAACAATCGACGCGCCCAGAATGCTAACAATAGTTCTGGGGCGAATCAAATAACAAATCTCGTGGATTTACTCTCCGGGATCAATCTCCGCATTAGCTTCCCGAGAGTTAAACACATTTCAGTGTGTAAGCTGTATGTAATACAGATTCACATTAACCACACGTGAAAAGATTGCCAGAGTTATCTTCACGCTTGTGATTTCAAAAACATGATAGTTCATTAAATTTCAATGGCAACAACAACATTTAGGTTTTACAACATTGAAACACATGTGCACGAAAAAACATTCATGACACTATCAAATAGGATATAAAGCAATGTGACAGTGCCCTACGAGAATGAAGAAATGTCCGCCTAGGAGTACTACAAAGTGATGAAGACACACACTTGAGTAAAAAGACAGTTAGATTTCTATCACAAAATATAGATTTGAACCTAATTTCGATCTTACCTGGAAAAATGAAACCACGATGCCAAAAGTTCTGTCTCAAGCTTAGGTTAAGCCCAACAGATGGCATGTGCTGGACAGGATCTCATTTACCAGACCTAGAGTTCACCCCTTTATAACTTTTATCAAGCTCCTCCTGTATTACGCCTAAAATCATTCTCATTCAAGGATGTCACAGCTCCTCCCCTGTGGGTAAGTTTATTCGCTGTCAGTCAGGGCTGTACAACACTTGTTTAAATTCCCACGGTCACCTTCTACAGGTTCAATTAAGCTGGTCAAAGCTAATAGGCCAAGTCACACCTCCAGTCTACTTCACCTGTCATCACAATAAAATCCGACTTTGTCAATTCTTCTGCCAACACTTTCAGCTCACTGTGTCAATATTGACGATCTGACCGGCACTCCAGTTTAGGTAACCTCAGGGGGAGATAATGGCAATTAGCCCTTGTTATCTGTTCCTGAAGGTCTGGCTAGGAGATAAATATCTGACACCAACAAATGGTGTGCAAATCTCCAGTCAGTAAGTCTGCTTGGTCAGTCTTGTCTCTGTACCTTAACACTTAACATCTGGGGAAAAGTTTTAGTGTTTGATATGACCAACAGTCCAGGAGAATTAAAGGTTTGATGTGGTCGTCTTACTTAGATTAAGGATGTATCCAAATCCCTATTTTCCTGTATACTTTCAAAATACAAAGCAATAAAAGTAGGTTGAGGAAAGACATTCTGAAATCACCGAGCGTATTGTCACACTAGTCTTCCTCCCAGTGTAACATCCGTCTATGCCTGCAACTATCAGCCACAAAGTTACAGTAAAACGTCGATTACCCGTCATCTTTATGACCAGGAAATATCATAACACATATGTACAGTAACGTACATTTCATTAAAGGCTTGGAACGAAAATGAAGAAGATAAAATCCCTCCAAAGGGAATAATACATACATATATTGCGTTTAACTTTACCAGACATTAACTTCAATAAAAGAGTTGTAATGTACAGAAATGTCATAACTACGACCAGAATGTAATACATATGCACACCGCCTTGCTTCCCAAGCTCTGTCGGCCCTACATATGCACACCGCCTTGCTCCCAAAGCTCTGGCTAGTGATAGGCAGTGTTGCCACTTTTCTTTGACAAAAAAATCTAAAACAGAGTTTAAAAAATAGCTAAAAACATCTAAATTTGCGTGGAAAACATCTAGAAAAAAACATTCAGATGGAAAGAGTCACAAATTACATAGCAATTGATATGACTTACACTATAGAATCATGTCCTCATTTTTACTGGTCTGCCTCACAAGATCCATAGGATAAACTTAGCTTGGATGATAAAGTTGAAGCTTCAGTTCCAAAATGACTTTGTTATACTTTAGCTGTTTCAATTTCTTTTAACATCCAATCAGGAAGCTGAAAAGTGGAACAGCATTTTCCTACACTTATCAGGCCGAGTTTTATTGTCAAGATAGCATTTAGGAGGTCAAATTTCATCCTTTTTCTTGAGTTAGATTTGATAAATTCACTCTAAATGAAAAACTTCTAGAATGACATCTACCATCTAAACGTCAAAAACGTCATCTAAATGCAAGGGAAAACAATCTAAATCTGGATGTAAAACATCCAAAGTGGCAACACTGCTGAAAGGTCTGTGTGGCGCTAAATCAACCTTGACCCTTCCGTCACCGACCATTAATCACTTCCGCTATCATACAGTCCTTCTGATTCCGTACCTTTTGAGGGGAAAACCAAAAGTTCGACCACTTTCAGACTGCTGCTAGCTAGCCGAAACCGCTAACAGTCTCCGTCTATATTTGTGGTCTGGTTTATTTGCGTCACTTTCGTGACTAAAGTTTATTTGCGCCGTCTCTGGGCTTAATGCTTCCTTTCTTCGAGTCAGACCGCTCGTTCTCCATCCTTTTTTTTTTTTTACGTATCCAGAAACCATGAGTTGTAAACCCTTTGGCTCGGTACTATGGATATCGCAACCCTTCGGCATTGATTCCATTATAGGTACCGTTAATCTGGGAGAAATGTGGCTTTTCTACCTACCCCCGGGAGTGAACCCGGACCACAAGGAGTTCGTCACCCGGCCGCCGCGAAAGTCAGGTTTAACCACCATCCTATTGTTAGCTGTGTACTTCTTTCCTTTTCGTTCCAGGGGTTTCCTCCTTGATTTCTGCTCCCTCTGATTTGGCCAGGAGTATTTCGTAGTCATACAGTACAGTCGCTTGCAGCTTTAATCCAGTAGGCTGTACACGTCATTCGTAAACAATTTTCAAGATGTTCTTTTCGGTTTAGCACCACATCGCGCGTGATATATATATATATATATATATATATATATATATATATATATATATATATATATATATATATATATATATATATATATATATATATATATATATATATATATATATATAATGTTTATGAAACAGTCTGTTTCCTGAGCGTTAGGGCGTTGACGTGTCTTCGTGGTTTGGTCACGGACAAGAAATGTTCCAAATGGTTCTCTGGCTGTGTAAATTTTGGTTTTATTTTCCTCATAAGTTCGTCCTGAGGCTTCGGTAATCGAATCCTAGTCCGTTCAGGATCTGCTTAAACTCAAAGTCACATAAATAAACAGAGGGGGAACCCTTGAGTCCGTATAAATATTATGTATGTATGTGTGTATGTATGTGTGTGTATGTATATGTTGTGTGCTATCTGAGTCACACACTAATTAGCACACTCCCAAGTGTCTATAGAAATAACTTTCGCTCCCACACTCTCGAAGCAGGACTCGACGTCAGTAGTTCCGTCATACAGTATATTTATTCGACAGAACACCAGAGGGTATTTACAAACCCTCACAACGACAGAGCTGCATACGCAGAGACGTAGACATTGATCCTAATTGACATTCGAATATATTCCATATATTCCTCAGTGTCTCTCTCGCAACTTGTAGCGACCTCTCCCACAACTCTGGGCTCGACTTACAGTAGAACAGGACGAACTCTCCTATCAAATGGACTTGATATTATTACAGCAGATGGCAACGGCTGACTGGAGACGGACTTCACTTGCTCATTCTCCAGCTTGAAATCTATAACTATGTTCGTTGTATTCTACACAGAGCATAACTGTCTGATGTGTTTGTAATTGTTGCTGTGTTTGTTATTTGACCTATACTTATTTAATATACATTTATGTAACAAATGGTACCTTTTCAACGGTTGGAAATGAATTATGTCCGGATTCCGTGGTTGTGAATTTCAAGCTGTACCATAGACATGACCAATAAAGACACATTTTTAAGGGGTGCCTAGCTGTTCATGCATGCCAGTACACTTAGTTCCATAGCGAGGTGTACACGGCATTTGGAGGTGACAGCTTTGATTCCCGGTAAGGTAATAATAGCTTTCGATTTTTATGTTGTTAAGTGTGTCCTTCTATCTTTCTGCTTCTTTCTATGAGTGCCAATCAATACATCATCTGTTTATTTTATATATATATATATATATATATATATATATATATATATATATATATATATATGTATATATATATATGTATATATATATGTACAATATTAACCTTTAAACCACAGTTGTCGGCTCTGTGGCTAAGTCGATGCGAACGCTTAGTAATGCCGGGATCGATCCCAGCTGCGGGCCATGAGCCTTGCATTGGTTTCGACAGTGGTATCAAGAAAGCCGACCGTCCAGAGGGCAATGGCAAACTACTTGAGATAAATTTGCCTAGAAAATTGATTCTGCAAAGTCCTGTAAAGGATATGCAACTAACCTTAAACCGCAGTTACTTACCGTAGTTGTTCTCCAATCAAGAAGATCTCATACACATTAGAGGCCCATCTGGTATTGCGTCGTACCATTTTGTTCAAATGGTAATGTCGCCTAGGTGATGTCACAGATCACAATGTCGCCTAGGTGATGTCACAGATCACAATGTCGCCTAGGTGATGTCACAGATCACAATGTCGCCTAGGTGATGTCACAGATCACAATGTAGCCTAGGTGATGTCACAGATCACAATGTCGCCTAGGTGATGTCACAGATCACAATGTCGCCTAGGTTATGTCACAGATCACAATGTCGCCTAGGTGATGTCACAGATCACAATGTCGCCTAGGGGATGTCACAGATCACAATGTCGCCTAGGTGATGTCACAGATCACAATGTCGCCTAGGGGATGACACAGATCACAATGTCGCCTAGGGGATGTCACAGATCACAATGTCGCCTAGGGGATTTCACAGATCACAATGTCGCCTAGGGGATTTCACAGATCACAATGTCGCCTAGGGGATGTCACAGATCACAATGTCGCCTAGGTGATGTCACAAATCACAATGTCGCCTAGGGGATGTCACAGATCACAATGTCGCCTAGGGGATTTCACAGATCACAATGTCGCCTAGGGGATGACACAGATCACAATGTCGCCTAGGTGATGTCACAAATCACAATGTCGCCTAGGGGATGTCACAGATCACAATGTCGCCTAGGGGATGTCACAAATCACAATGTCGCCTAGGGGATGTCACAGATCACAATGTCGCCTAGGGGATTTCACAGATCACAATGTCGCCTAGGGGATTTCACAGATCACAATGTCGCCTAGGGGATGTCACAAATCACAATGTCCCCATCACAAGTGCCATGCCAGACAGCGAAAAAAACCAGATCCGCCTTAAAGTCAGCAGTTGATACAATAACCTGTTGTACCGAAGTATATTTGACAATGCAAGTTATGTCTCGGATAGTCGCAACGTTCTGTGTTATGCAGGGGGCGCCACAACCTGAGGACTAAAGCATCTTGAGGACCCCCCCCCCCCCCACAAACACTTCAACTCACATATTTTTTAGAATTTTGCTGAAACGCCAAGGAGGACTGTGTCATTTGCATAGAGAAGTTACGGAATGGGGTTGCCTTCCAGTTATGGGTGGTTCATAATTGCCACAAGTCTGGTAATTTTTGCATGTGCATAGACGCACTTATAATGATATTTCTTCATACATTTAATGGTAAGGATTATACTGAAAGTTATTATTATAGTGCATTTAAACAAAACGGAAGTATCTCTAAATATCCATAGATGTATAATAGACTGCCCGCTTCCCTCAGAGATTTCTTTGTGCCGGCGCCCCAGAAGATATTGTTCAGATAAACCGAACCATTAAAAGTTACCAACACCTTCGCTGATAGTGAGATACCGCTAATGAGATACAACTGCTTATCAGTATTCTACTACACGAACTGACGTCTACCCTAGTTTGAGATGTACTGATTACGGACAGGAGACACGCCCAGAAAGTAAAAGTTAAGTTGAGGGCTCTTTTCAGTGCTAGTGAGGCATAGAGTATATCAGTAAATAAAGGACCCATTTCCACCCCTTCGGGTGTATTGGGCTAGACCTATATTTTATAGACTAGTCAACACTCAGTGGGTGTTGTAGTCAACATAATGTCGACCGCCTTTACTTCCCAGGACTTTAACTACTATCCATTTAAGGCTCGGTTGACCTGGGAGCCAAGGTTATTTTTTGAAAAATGTCCGACTTTCTTTGGACTCAACCCCAGACCTCAGGATACGCAGGCGAGCTTCTAGCTTCTTTACTACTGCGACTCTTGGTCACATGATCCTACACTTATATTTTCAAAGACCAATCGGTAGTCGATGGGCAACAACTTCACTACTCAAGACATTGCCCAGTACCAATTCTCTTTCTTTAATTCAACTACATGTGAAGTTCGCTGTCTCTGCAAGATCACTAACAAGAAGAGACAGGGTTACGAATACCAGCACTAAAGAGAAAGTCGGAATAAGACCATGTCTGGGTTCGATTGACAGACAAAGAATGAAATGGTTTAGCCACAGCCGTCTCCACCTTGAAGATGGAGACAGCTGTCGTTCAGCCGTCTAGTGAGAATCCAGACATACTAGACTGCATATGCCACTTTTTTACAGCCGAACATCAGAGAGGAAGACCAAGAAAGATGTGGATAACCAGAAACCTGCGAAAAGATGAACAAATCCAGCACCACAAAAAATGTCCAAGACAAATAGCAGAAACCACGAGACTGGGCTACAATAGTAAAACGACAAAAGAAGAAGAAGAAGAATTCAACTCATTAGAAGCAATACTGTGACTAATACTCCAATCTTTTAGTGTGAAGTATTGTATCATCATGTATACTGGGTCAAGTCCTTCAGGAAGCAAAGGGGGCTTTTGAGCTGAATTGCTATAGACAGATTCTTAGTATACCATGGACAAAGAAAGAAAGACATGCTGACATCCCAAAAAATCTAAATATCAAGGTAGATTGGCTGGTAAACAGCATCTGGTCTCAGCTATTGAAATATGTTGGCCATATCCAGCGCCACCGTGAACTGAACAAGAAAAATAACAGAAGTCATGGTACCAGGAAAGAGGAGCAGGGGTCGACCAGCACGAAGGGGGGCACATGATACAAGTTACACTTTGGGTAGGAAAGAGATGGCAGAGATAGGGAGAGATAGAGCTTTTTTCTGGCATCTGCGAAGAAAGTACAGAAGAAGAAGAAGAAGAAGAAGAAGAAGAAGAAGAAGAAGAAGAAGAAGAAGAAGAAGAAGAAGAAGAAGAAGAAGAAGAAGCAGAAGCAGAAGCAGAAGAAGAAGAAGAAGAAGAAGAAGAAGAAGAAGAAGAAGAAGAAGAAGAAGAAGAAGAAGAAGAAGAAGAAGAAGAAGAAGAAGAAGAAGAGGAAGAAGAAGAAGAAGAAGAAGAAGAAGAAGAAGAAAAAGAAGAAGAAGAAAAAGAAGAAGAAGAAGAAGAAGTTTGAGGAGGCCCTGGTGCCGCACAGCTGGGATTAAACTAGGCCCATTATTATGGCAAGGAAGCCACCGAGACTCATCAAAATGTCATTATCATCATCATGTGCCATAGCAATCGACGTCGGCTAGAACAACAAAGACCGAGATCTGTGGTGATGCATAAAAGTCGACACCTGCTGGCAAGGCGCTTGATGATGGTGACAAAGAAGCTTAGCAAAGGAGAAAAGATGAATGGCTTATTGGCATTAGCTTGACTACAGTTACCACTGTGCTCATTACATGAAAGTGATTGTAATAAATTATTAATGAGAATGATAGTGGTGATTGGAATGATGTCAATGACGACGATGGTGATGATCTAAATTCTCGCTCCAAGTAGATTGATTCTCGTTTTCTAATCCACACGTGCCGTTACGCGTAAGGTCAAATAAATGTTAATTCGTATACCAAATGCATTACCACTCGCCAACAAAAGCGGGATTGTACAGTCCAAGGCTTTCTCCAGTACTGGAGACCGCATTGTGCAATCCATGTGTCTGTTATCGCTTCACTGATTCAAGGGACGCAATAGAGTGCCCCGAAAGGTATGCACAGAATGTTACGGTTTGATCGCCTTGAATCTGGGCTAGCACAGGTAGGTATGTCAACTAAGTCATTCAGGTCACACGGTGGGCATTCTACACGGTGTGTAGCAACATGGCGGCTATCAATGATGCCAGCAATTCAGACAATACGGAAATGGAGATAGACACAAATTTTTGGACAGACACAAATGTTAGTTCTCTCGATTTAAGTGATTTTATTTCCAGGTGTGTTTTTCCTCAATGTGTGTGTGTTACCGAGGGTAACTTTTTAAGTCGGGATGTGCAGATAAACCCAGGCGATGTTTTGGTTTTGAAGTCTTGCAACAAAGGACGTGTGTTTCTATCGTACAGGGATGAAAACAGTCGGAAATGGACGGAGGTCAGTGTTGATTTAGACTATCCCCAGAAGTTTAATGTTCTTCCTCCTAAAGATATGACGGCAGAGAGCCGAACTGCCTCCGTGGTCATGTATCCAACAATTTCAGACTTAATCTTGGATTGTCCGACATATTTTGAAGCTACAGTTTCCTACGACGATCCCGATCTACCCGAGATGTCTGTTATACGAGGGGATCAGTTCTGGTTTGTTGGGATGACACAGTATCCTGAAGCAGGGGTCGAGAGGTTAAAGGTTCGAGACGGACATGGTAACTTTCGATACTTGTCCCTTGATTGTAGGGGCAATTTTTATCATCTTAAAGACGACAATGAGTATACAGTTAAAGAGCTTTTAGAATTAGCAGCCGTGCCGCGTAGACTGAAGATGGTTACCACATGCATTAACACAGGAAGAACAAATGACGAAACTAAGAATATAATAGAAAACGAAGTTGTGAAAGATGAGTATTCGGTTGTCAATAAAATCCTACCCAGACCGAGGGAGCTATTTTCATCAGCCAGTTCACAATCGCCACCTACTGATCCATTACCACAGTCCTACTCTGGGATTGTTTATTTGCTCAAATATGAGTCAACACTAACAGTTTCCCCATATGATGACCTTGCAGTTACTTGGCAAATTCCCGTCTCGGCAAACCTGAAGATCAGATCATATTCACAAAATGACTACGAAGTTCCAGCGTCATGGAAACCTACATACTTGAAACGAGTTCAGCTTCCTCTTTCTCCCAACGAGGACCTACCCAGTTTTCACGCACCGATTGTACCACAACAGCCACTTGTCCCTTTGAACATCAGCAATTTTGTGGAAATTTATTGCTCAACATTCCCAGTTAGGGCAAAGATTGTAGATACATCTGGCGCTCATAAGTTTTTTCAGGAGATGCTGAAAGGCATTGATGAAGTCAACGTTTACCGTTTAGAAGAAACCAAAAGACTTTACGTAAAAGATGCAAAAAGAGACGATGTATACAGCTTGTCACATGACGTCACGCTATCCTTTGTAGAATATCCTGAAAAATTTAGAACAGTATCAGATCTGCTGCACTTACCTGTTGGTACAGAAGTGA